CCCGAGAGCTCTCTTTGTCCGGCTGAGTCAGCGGTCCGCGCACCGTCCTTCACTTAAACGCTGGCGGTGTGCGCAGTCGACGCACGAAAAAAACGCGCACTTACCCTCAGACGAACCGGTCTGAGACGCGCTCACGTTTGAGCTGCGGGTCGAGTCGTGGGCAGAAATGTAGACGCGTGCATTCGTCTGGCTGTCCCCTCGCCTCGTATCGCTGCAAAACTCAGCCCTCCGTAATCTTGCAGCTGGCACACATTCGACCTGCAGGGGGGGGGGGGGGATATTGGTTTTCTGACCAAATAGCTGGTCAGATGGTTATTTGTCGTTTTTTATGGACGAATAAGACACCAGATTATAGACTATGCGTCAGAATCCAGAGACTGGACATGACATTTGATGAGCTCTGTATTCTTTAGACAAACCTCGAACTGCACTTCTACACTAACTCCACCACTCTGCTCCAGCTTTGGATACAATTCATTTTACCACAACCGTGGCCACATATTCAGTGAATGTATTGATCAGCTGTCAGGTCAGCAGCATAGACCATCAGACGGGTCACAAAAGCCAAGTTGGGTGACGGTGGAGCCCCCAAAAAAGCCGGCCAGTAAATGGCAGACAACTGGAGATAAAGCAGAGAGTTGATTAAACAACAGAAAGCCCGGCAGTGCCAGAAAACCAGAAACAGAAAAATGATCATCCATCCATCCATCCATTTTCGCTTCTTCCCTAATGGGGTCGTGGGGGGGACTGGAGCCTATCCCAGTGGTCAGTGGGCGAGAGGTGGGGTCACCCTGGTCTGCCAGTCCATCACATGGCCACACAGAGACACAAAAGGACAAACAACCACACACACTCACACTAAGGGCAATTTGGAGTGTCCAGTCAACCTAACATGCAGGTTTTTGGGCTGTGGGAGGAAGCCGGAGAACCCAGAGAGAACCCACACAGACACAGGGAGAACATGCAAACCCCACACAGAAAGCTCCCAGTTCTCCCGGGGACTCAAACCCACCACACCACCGTGCGGCTGCCAGAAAACCAAAAACTGAAAAATGCTCAAAATCAAATGCTTACAACCAACCAAACACATTTATTTGAAAAAAAAGAAAGAAACAACACTGACAACAAGATAAAACCAAAGGGCTTATGGGGAAAGGCGGGAGATCTGAGATCTGTGAGACAATTAACACAGTGGAAGAGACCAGACTGGGAAAACACTGAGAACCGAAACAGAACGGCAGGAAAATAAACCAAAAACACAGGCAAAACAATGAACAAGAAGTCTCAATAACGGCAAAATCGCATGAGAGCTGAAAGCTTGTAAAACACGGAACAAGAACCAAAAAGCCACAGCTCGTGACAAGGTGAAGCTTGAGCTGCATTTTGACTACTTCCAGCCTGTTTAGCTCAGTCACACCACTTACATTGCAAAACATCCTCCTTCTTGCACCGAATTTCAGTAGAAAGGGTGCCTGCAAACAGGTGTGCTGCCTCAGGACGTTTGTTCAGTTTGTTCATATTTTGTCGATGTCTTTCTTTGGATTCATTAAATCCCGACAGAAATCTGTTTTCGGATAAATGCCTTTTTCCCCCACTTCGTTCTGTTATTTGTAAACGTGCAATGACTAAAAAATCTTTAGGGAGAGTAGAAGGTCTTTCCTATATTTGAATTTATACGTTGTCATACATGCCGTAATTTCCCTCTGCCATGCTAAAGTTTTAGCCAGAGAGGATGCTCTGGATTTGAATTTTCCTGATACTTGACAGGCCATTTATTGGTCCACCTCTTCTCTATTTTAGGGAACAGCTGAAGCCAGACCACCGGGTCCCTTCCCGCGTCCTTGTGACTCGTCATCAGCTGCTCCTGAGCCGGCAGGGGGTCAGTCGTGGGTCAGTGCCCTAAAAACCTGCTGAAAGGTCACCCCATCGGGCGCCCGAACAGCAGCTCTGCCTCAACACTGTCCTAAATCGGGGCTGTTTTCACACCAAGCAATGTGCCGGTGCAGTTTTAAACAGGCCCCACCGAGTCCTTTCTCATTTCACGCTGCTGCGTGTTCACACTCTCACCCACAGCAGAGACGGCCGCTGACAGCCCTGTAACGGTCAGCCTGTGCCCAGCAGGCCGCGTCGGGCCCCAGTTTCCGATGATCGCCGCTTTCATGGATGATTCCACCGTGTTTTCCCATCGACGGACTGTGACAGTCGTTATCGTGCGGCAGGGGCCGAGAATTAGAAAAATTGATCGGTCTCGTCTGTTTTTGTTGCTGTCAGCGCTGGAGCCTCGAGGTGAGAAGTTACAGCTGGTGAATGTGCGCTTCTTCGAGGAAAACACTGTGTGCCGCATTCGGGGCTGTGAATGAGGCTGGAGACAACTGAGGGCTTTACCTGAGCGTGTAACTCCCTCCTCAACAGCAAGTTTTTGGAACAGTGCCTGGATCAACTGGCTGTCACATCCTTTTTTTTTTGGTAACCAGCGAGGTCACCTTTAGAGTGTGTGCTGTAACAGATTGCATCTCTTTTCATAAAGTTGTATCTATTTTTTTCATAAAGTTGCATATCCTTTTATAAAGTTGCCTCTCTTTTTTATAAAGTTGTATCTGTTTTTTATAGAGTTGCATATCTTTTTTAAAGTTGCATCTATTTTTATAAAGTGGCCTCTCTTTTTTAAAATAAAGATGCATATCTTTTCATAAAGTTGCATCTTTCTTATAAAGTTGCATATATTTTTAAAATAAAGTTGCATCTCTATTTTAAATAAAGTTGCATCTCTATTTATAAAGTTGCATCTGTTTTTTTTATAAAGTTGCATACATTTTTTATAAAGTTGCATATATTTTTTTAATAAAGTTGCATGTATTTTTTATAAAGTTCGTGATTCGTTTGCAAGAGGACAATCGAGCTTTTGCCCGACGCAGCCATCTCCCTTGCTACTGGGATCAGGGGCATGTGAGGAAACAACAGCACCACTCATTCTCCCTGCTTTTAATAGACGAGTTCCTCGTGCCACAAAAGGTCGTGCATGTGATTTATATATACTAGGATTAGCAATAGACCGTAAACAATAAGGCCAATGTATCATCTGGTCTTCTTCAAGTTTTTTTCTTTTTTCTGAGAAAACAAACTGCCCTTGAGTTTACACCATTGCCCAACACCTCTACTGCAGGAATTTTGTTTGGCAGACTCCTAAATAAAAACACAGTTTGTGCATCTGTCAACTCCGATAAATCCAGAGTCCCCTCCCATATTCAAACAGATGTGGGAGTGTAATCCCTCGCCCCAACTCCCTGCATGTTGATGAGTTTGACGAATGTGTTCCAGGCATTCCAGATGTTTGCTTGTCCTCCTTTGCACAAAGCCCAACCCTGATGCGAGGGGGAGCCATCCTCCCCCCC